AAGTGACGTGGCCCTTCTCTCCAAGGAGAATTCAAAATTCAGCTCTTTCTGAGACCAGTGCATGCACACATGTGGATGGTAGATAGGAGTCGGTGTACAGCCGAAATGAACCGAGCTCGTATGAAGCCCTTTCTGAGGTTGCATTTACCCGCTGTTTTTCTTGCAGGCTTTGAGGGATGTCGGAAGGATTTGCTTTTTGGCCAGTGGTTGAAGAGGCAACGTATTAATGCAGTTATGTTTGAAACTCATATCAAATCGCAGCTGAGGATTTTCTTTTTTCCTTTTTATGCAGATTAATTATATAAAATATAAAACATCGGAATATTAAACAGTTCAGGGGAAGTCAGTTCGCCGATCTGTATACCGTTTGTTACTGGTTCATGTCACGTTCTTGGCTCTCAAGGTTATACCAAACCAACGCGGTACGCGAGAGCGGTATAACGTTACACAGTAATCCCGCTCGCCTGCCCTTATTTTAATAACAACAACAACTTCTGTGATGCAGTGGAAATCGTTGGGCTGATTAGTATAGGCTGTATTGTATAATGCAGGTTGGATTTGCTATGCATGAAACAATTACGTGATAGAACGTCCGCATTCTGAAAAACGCCCGACTCTCCTGAGGTTTTTCGTGGTTTTCCTTAGTTTCCTCTGTATCACGTCCCATTTGTTTAGCCACTCCGTTCGAATTCATTGGCCATCATATTCGACGACAACCTTTATTGCAGTTGGTAATTTTAATTAATGTGCTTCCCGTACTACAGTGACTCTTTGAAATTGTTCTGGTTACAAAGCTGAATCTTGGTCCTTACAGAACAGTCATGAAAGCCGTGTCCAGATCTTGAAATCTGTGTGTGCTGTGGACATGTTCCATGGACCGACGATGTGATAGGATAAATACAAAATTGTCTGTTACTTTACTAACGTAATGCATAAACAGAATTTGATGTTTAAAGATGGTCAGTTGATAATTAACTTAAAGTCAAATCAACTGCAATGATTATATGCGACTATGCATAAAACAAAAAGTCATATTCAAAACTTAAAAACTTTACTTAAATCTTATCTAACCAATTTTTGAAAACTGATTTTTTTTGCACACCTTATTTCGATTTTCAGTTTCTTTAGTGATATTGGGGTGTATTACAGGAAGGTGAAATTGGCATAAGGTATTATAGTTTTTGTATTGCGCATCCAGACTTTGTATGAGGACTTTTAGAGGTCTGAATTTAGCAAAGTATTTTTTTCTAAATCATGTTTTGCTCATAAAGAGGAAGTAACAGATAAGAGTAAGATGCTATTTCCCTTCATATGTGACGAAATTCCTAGCTTTGTGGTTTCGAGCGTTGTGTCAGTTTACACAAAATGCTTTTTTTCCTTTACAAAGTTCAGAGGTTATAAAATTTTGTCAACTCCACGTACTTGAAAAGAATAATTAAATATCGCGATTCGCCCGGTGATAGTGTTAGTAAGCACCTCTGAAACGTCGGTAAATACCTACGAGAACACAGCGCAACATCCCAGAAGATAGTTTTGTGTAGTTTCCAGTTTGTTATGTAACCGCGGGATATTTAGTTGGGATATGTTGGCTTGTGCTGCCAAGTAGTGCCTGCATTTTTGAAAGATATATTTCATCGTGTCATAGTATAGTTAAATATTGGTACTGTTTGTCAAGACACGACGTGACGTAACAGAATCTGGTCATTCTCTTATGAATGTGTCACAGAATTAAATGTCTGCGGCTGTTTGTGAAAATAAACTTCAACCGTGTTAACCCGCCTAACACTTTGAAAAATATTTTGCCTTACTTTCCTTGCTTAGCGCTACTCCATACAATGGAACACGGCAGAACCGATCCGTTAAAAAAGCATCATTAGCCAGTCAAGCGCTCGTCGCGATCGTAAGCCTCATTTATCTGGCTAACAACGCCTGGTTGGACTTAGTTGACGATGCATTTTGCCTCATCGGTTCTGCCGTGTTCCAGTGTGTGGAGTGCTACTGAACCACGGACGTAAGACAGAAGATATTCCCCCACCCCCAAAGTGTTGACCGGGATAACACGCCGCTTCGCAAGTTCTCTGAAATGCATTGATAAGAAAGGCCTTAGTGAACACTCGGTATATTAAATCACGACAGGGACCTTCAACCTAAAATTGGACCAGGTAATGAATACCCGTTTCACCATAACTATTTACATTGGAGTTCTAAAAATGTCTTGAAAAGTTGAAGCCATCCGCAGCTTTGCTTATTCATGTATTCACGCACAAGCCTTTGAAAATTTTGAACCTTATAATGAACTGTTTGTTCCCAAGATCACTTATGTAAACGTAATAGCATGATATACATCGATTGGCTTCGATTGCGTAAATAGCTCAGAACTTATTTCTCGATACGTTTGTACAACGCAAAAAACAGTAACGTACAGATCACAGTGTTGGGTTTTAAGTGCTTTCATTGGCAGTTTACCAAAGCCTTTTGTGTATATTTTCATTTTAAATACTGAGAAAGTAGTGCTTTGCTGCGTAATATAAATGAGATGCACAGTGTTTATTCTTGAGCCTGTGGGTCGCAATCTGGGAATGATCCATGTTCAAACGTTAAATCCCACCTCTAACACCCCCCCCCCCCCCCGCAACCCGTTATTACTTACAGCGGACACAAACAAGTTGTGAGGTATTTTGGAAGTGTCCATGTGATTAATTCGTACCAGCCATGTTATATGATGGATTGTCATTTGTGTTCATTTAATCCGACTACTTTATTTTTACAATGATTACTCTTTGGTTCAAGAGGAGCAAGGGAGCATGTATTCATATATCCAGCCAATACCCATACATGTTGTTATGTAATTAATCTTGCATGATTAATTTGTCTCATTTTACATCTGAATTGCTTGATATAAGGTATATCAACTTGCATGTTTCAAATAACTTTAACGATTGTAATTGAATCTCTTTTTGTTAGAAACATTTGAGACATTGTTTATAAATTTATTAATCTAATCTTATATAATTTAATCTTGCACCAGTCATACATTGTGATTTTGCATGTGTAAAATTCTCATTGCCATACATAATAAATGTATCGATGAGATGAACAAAATGAAACTAAAGCAGATCAGCTTGTGGCACCTTTGTAAAACTAAATTATAGATGCCTAGCTGTAGTTGTGTTGCCGTGCAGAGAAAAATGTCATCAGATAATTTTGTCCTTGTTAAACTTTACTGAGACATCATTTCCATGGTTCTCAGACAGCTTGAAAATACGGGATGCGTGTGGAAATACAGAGTGAACCATAAATATAGTGTATCTGTTCATAGAAAAGAATTTATTGATAACAGGCGGTCCAAAAAGAAGTATTTGACATTTATCACATTAAATAGGGGTCTTGGACAGCACTGCATGAAAGATGTCTTGGTTATTTGCTGATATTTCCATACAAATTTAGTTGAATCACTCATTATCGAATGATGGAATAGCAAAATTTGTGCTTTTTGTGAATTAATATTGATTACTGTGTGAAAACCCCAGCCTTTTTGGATGTCACATGGTTCTTAGGTGATGTTCCCTTTCATTGGGATGCTTACGTTAACAAACAGTGTGGTGTACATTACTAGTGTTGGAATATTTGGTGCAATATTCATCCATGATAGTCAGTTCTCATTTTGTGACATTTGAGGTTCTCGTGTTATTGTGCCTTGTAGTCTGTTAGATGTTTACTGATGTTTCAGAGGTGATGAAGGTAGCAATCATCCCTGAATCATCAGACTACATGGTGCAATAACCCGGACTATGGCCATCTTCAGTTTTCACGTTTGCCTCAGGTTGTGAAGGGATAAATTGCAGTGAATACAGCCTGGTTTCAATGAGACCACTAGACATCGCAAACAATGGCTATTCTTTTGTTTCCTCTGCATTGTTTCTGGAGATACAGTCTTGTTGAATGAGTACTTTGTACTGTTCAAGGATTGATTATCATGGCCACCAACTTCACCAGACCCTAAACCACTTGTGATTTCTCAGGGGTTATATGAAGATCAAGATGTTTCAGAAAAATAGACACAATTCACTAATTGAAAATTGTCATTCAGTCTGAAATTGAATTAATTTCACTGAGCTAGGTTCTGCATGATTTCATTATTTTCATGCACGTAGGTTGTTCGAGGATGTCACATTGAACATAAGAAACCATTTGCCAAAGTGTTTAGAAAACTGTGGAAGTTTCATTCTGTTACATTCACTAATAAAAAGTTCTCAGTTTTAAAAAATGCCTTGTATTTTATTTGTTAGAATTTGTGGCAAGTTGATAAACTTATTGATGTACATATTATTAAACTTGCATGGCTGTGTATGCAGTAAAATTAATTAAAGAAACAGTTTTGATTTAGTTTCTTTACTAACTGTGTAACTAACTTTTTGGGTCACCGTACTTTGCATGTGTATGCTTGTATTAAAGGCGTATGAAAAGCTCTTTTTTTAATTTTCCACTGTACAGTCAGTTTTTGTAATGAAGTGAAGAACACTTTAAATTTTACAATTATTTATAATAAACATTGCTTATATACATGTAAGCATATTACAGAATTTAAGGAGGTACAACACATTTCTGAACAAGAAATCAAATAATAAAGGTGAAGTTTAAATATTCTTGTTATCTAAAACTGAATCACCAAACTAAGCACACAATGTGAATACATATAGCTTGACAGTTTAATTTGTGTTTACAAGAGCATTAATGTCTTATTAAAGGTTTTCTCTGTATATTTTGTGTTGTTTTTAAGGTAACAGAATAATCTAGTTCCAGATCAGTTACTTTTTTACCATATTAGTTTTTATGTCAGAGGAGCTTTTCTGTACAAGTATTAAATACACCGTTTTAGTAAATATATTTTTTTGTTTTAAGCTGAATAAGATAAATAAAAATTTGTTCAGATAGTTGATTACTACACATAAAATACATTTTGACAATGTGATTAAAATGTTTCTTGCCAACTGTTACAGCTGCACAGGATAGAATATGTTCACAGCCGACATTTAATATACAGAGACGTAAAACCTGAAAACTTCCTAATAGGACGCAGTACCACAAAAAAGGATAAGATCATTCATATTATAGGTAGGTATGTCATGTGTTGTAGGGAATTGACTCATGGGTTTCAGGTTAGCTCATTATTTTATGTGCTGTTTGGTATTAATAAAACCTTCAGTATGTGTTACATGCAAAAACACTGAGCTAACTGTCGGAAGAGACAAAACCACTGTTGGCTGTTCACACATGCAGGTGGGACTTATTCAGGTTGTAGATCAATTGTGCTTCTGTACAATAAAAACCAGCTGCAGCCTCTGGACAAAGTTCTGCATTTTATTTTGAAACCTACCAGGTTATTTTTTATTGTATTAACATATTTATATGATGAAATTTATACTGGAAAACCACAACTCATGACTTTTTATATATGCATGCTGTTTTTTTTATCCTTAGGCTCATTTCTAATTACATGTTTTTGTGAACATGCTTATGAACTATCATGTCCTGTAAATTAAGGAAATTTATATTTTAATTGAATAAGTTTTAGTTGCTCAACAAAGTTATGTGTTATGGAGTTTAATATTCACTTACCACAAACAAGGTTTAGTGTTGTTTTGAACCAGGACATTTGCTATTCAGAATATTTTAAATGCATAGTGACAGTAATTCAATGTTTTTTATTTATTTATTTACAGACTTTGGCTTAGCGAAAGAATATATAGATTTAGAAACAAACAAGCACATCCCATATCGGGAACACAAAAGTCTCACAGGGACGGCGAGGTACATGAGCATAAACACTCATTTAGGAAAAGGTAAGACTTCTTTGTCTGACACTCCCTGTAATAAGGCTATGTTTCTTCATTGGAATGGGTTTACAAAGTTTCAAAACTTGGATTCAAAGTCTGTTTCATACTTGTCATGACATTATATGACAAAGTCCACATATTACTGTTACATTGTAATTGAATAATTCATAAGCGTTATATGTTTGACCAAGGAAATAGTTCCTGGCATAACAGTAAATTCTTACCCATTTCATATTAAGCAGGCTTCTCAAGGCACTCTTTTCCCACATTTCCACACTTGTTCCATCCCTTCAACATTGAGTGTTGGGAATGGATTTGCAGCCAATGGATAAACTGAAAAGCAATGAAAAATCCATGTCAAGTTAAAATGTGCAGTAACTTCCATACAAATTGAGGAGTTAAATTTTCATGTCTGTTGGCATGGAATTTTGCCAGAAGCTGTACAAATTATGAACAGGTAAAATTGAAGATTTATGTATCACAGGTGGTACTCAGAAGAGTTCTGTGGATATCAAAAAATGGCTCCCCTGAAAATAGACCCATGGCTGAAAGAAGAAGATAAACAGTTATACTGAAAAAATTTATACTCCCCCTTTCTGTCAAGTTCCAAAAAAAATTAAATTGTCAGAATATTTTTATGATTGTCTCAGTTTAAGTACTCATCCAATAAAAAGTGATGGAATTCAGTTTGCTGGGACCAGTGTAAAGAATGTTTCATCTCGTACTTCTTGTATGAAATACTTATTGACATAGGGTAATTAAAGATTTATTTTTATGACTTCCATCTGAAAACTTGATTGTGGAAATATTTACCAATTGTGTTTGTAAGCATCATGAAACATTCACCTATCTCATTCTTCTATGTATTTTTCTCCAAGTTTGCATTTTAATTTCTGATGCTTTAGTTAGCTAGTTAATTAGTTAGTTAGTTAGTTAGTTAGTTCACTATGTCACTAATGTTATAGAGCAAAGTCGACGGGATGACTTGGAGGCTCTAGGACACATGTTTATGTACTTCTTGAGAGGCAGTTTGCCATGGCAAGGCCTCAAAGCAGACACACTGAAGGAGCGGTACCAGAAGATTGGCGACACAAAGAGGGCTACTCCTATCGAGGTTCTCTGTGAAGGACACCCAGGTAAATCAGAGTACCTCTATATGTAGATAAATTGAAATATGCCATATTAATTTACGCGAAACAGATTGATGCTTAAATAATAACTGTAGACATGTACTCAGAAGGTGCACATTTTATATCTCTGCCAGGTTACATGCTGTACTGACTGAGATTTGTAACGATTTTCTACAGTCTGAGTAAGTAAATGTTTAGGTAGTATCTTCATATAGGCCTGAACTACATCTTAACCAAATCCATATCTGCCTACCATTCATGATCATTTTCTTATGTGTTCAATTGCACAACTTCTGCAGTTGAAACAGCTTCATTAGTCTTTGAATTGATTAATGGCAACATATCTTTTAGCTAAACTTTACTCAGATCCATACCACATGAAGTACACTTAATGTACCTAATCTGTTATTGAATATGCTGGGAATTGTTGTAACTGGTTGTTGAATTCTCTTTACTCCCATGCCAATGTCTCCTGTTACTGAGTTATTTCATATAAATTAATGGTCTTTTCATATTTTAATGCATTCAAAAGGAAAAAGGCCTCCTCTACATTTCTGAGCATGCAATTACAGAGAACCAATCTTCTGAAGTATGATTTGTGTGGCACAGGATACAGTCCAGACTCTAGTGAACATGATAGTGAGCCTCTACTTTTTATGAAAGATGAGAAATTTCCAGACTGGCTTATGATTTGTTAGTTATTAAGGAATGACTCTGCTTCATAGAGTGTGTTAGTCATTTTGGTGTTGTAAAGTATGAGTTTGTAGTTTAATTTGAAATTAAAATTGTTACAGAGGAAATGGCTACGTACCTGCGTTATGTGAGAAGACTGGATTTTTTTGAGACTCCGGACTATGAGTACCTCAGAAAATTGTTCCAAGATCTCTTTGAGAGAAGAGGCTATGTAGAAGATGGAGAGTTTGACTGGACAGGGAAGACAATGGTAAGTATCAGTATTTCGGTATCTTGAATGCTTCAGGTTAATTTAAGAGAAATTTAGAAGAACTGTTGAAAAGGTTGTAAATAATAATGTAAGTCACCCAATCTAATGCCTGTATTTATGCCTCAGAAGGAACTTGTACATGAATATGTTGTGTCCACTTTTAAATAATATAATTATAGTGTTTGTTTACCTCCTCAATTTCACTCTCTGCCCTTTTTCTTCCATCAAACCAGTTCCTTTGTTTTCCTCCAGATCTTAGCATTGCGTCTTGCTGTTCAGGATGACTGGCTGGCTGCATACTTTCATGGGAATATTTGTCCTGTTGATTGGTTCTATGTAGTGGAAATTTTGAAATGTAATTTATATTCCCAAAGAGATTATTTATGTAATTAAAAGTTATTTAATTTACAGTAACTCTTGAAACTGCTGCTGCTTTATATTTGGTGTTTTTATGTCGCAATATTTCTGGCAAACTTACAAACTCACAGAACTGTCCATTTTTGAATTTGCCAAAATTTTGGTATTGATAACTGATGCCTTCAGCAAAGAGAAAGAGCGGAAGGCTGAAACTTTAACATGTAGCTGTCAGTTTTTCATAGGAGTACACATTTGCAGTTTTATGTGTTTGAGTTTGTGTGTGTGTGCGCGCGCGCAAATGCACAAGTGCCATGCATCAGTCATGTATGAACATTATGAGGTGTTCTCATTGACATTCACAAATCTTCAGTAAAGTTGTCCTTCCTGTCCATTGGTATTTCGTTATCATTTATTTCTTAGTGAAGGTATTTTTACATCCAGACAGATCCATCTGCATACTTTTGTCCTAATACCAATAGAAAAAACATTAAGAGACTTTATTTCCCAGAGGGTACGCAACCAGAACCGCATGCCCCCCTGCTCTATTTGCATCCTTCGAAACCTCATTTTTCTGTCTGTAACTGAATGTAAGCACAGGATGGACACCTTTGAAATGTGTATCAACTCATACATTGTGTTTTAAGGCTTCTCTGCTTTCAATTGCACTATTGGTTCTGCCTTTATGGAATCATTTACATTAATTATGAACCTGCCTTTTCTTATGAATTTTAACTGCTAATCCTTCTTTTACTTATAGAATGTTTGTAATAGTAAAATTTTGATAAAAATCAAAATGTTATCTTCTGTAGAAACTTATTTCATAAGGCTATAGGATTATTTCCTTGATCATATATGAGTTGATTTCAATTTATTGCATGTCTTTTTGCATGCTGCTTGTATATTACTAGCCACTCAACTTTCATGATCTACATGTAATCAGGAATGCTCCACCCTCTCATATTGGGAAAACAAAGTCACAGAAGGTGTGTACCAGTCATTCTAACACAGGTAGCCACTTTCATCTTATAGCATCATTTTGTAGATAACACACTAGAGACATTTCTGTCTGGAACTGTTCCATGAAGAAAGATCGTGCATCATTAAATAATTTGTAGAATATCCTCATTCTTACATTTGTTCTTGATACCATATTATAGAGGATGTGGGAGATACACTTGCATGAGACCATTTTTATTCCTAAATTTAACTGGATCTTATTTCTTCATTTCTAGTGTTTCCATATTTCCTATATAATACTAATAATGTATTTAATGTTGAAATCAGTGAAAACTTATGTTCTGTGGAGCAGCAGTGCTATAAGTGGAAGTGATGTTACATGTAAAAGGACTAAACCAAACTACTACTACTACTACTGTTTGTGTAATGGTAATTCAAATTAAATGTGTGTTTTCACCTTTTGTAACCCATGCATGTGCACTAAGGATAATGCAGATATGAGCACAAGACATGGCAGTTCCAGTATGATGTTTCACATTGTACTGGTGTGAGGTGCTATTAAATTAGTGGCAGCTTAAGGGGATAAACCAACAAATATTTATTACATTATCAATGTCATGTATGTTGGAATGTACTTGTCTGAAGATTTCCTGTAGGTGGGTGCAGAAGATAGATGATGCTCCATACCTGGGCCACTGACAGTCACTCTTGAATAGTCCTGAGAATGACAAAAAAGTGTATTCTGTTTGCTTTCATTTTCTTCTTTTTCTTTCCTCTCTTCTTCCCTTCATTCCTTATCATGTTACAATAAAAATTATACAATTTATATATGCATTGAATTATGATTGTAAAGATATCAGTAATAGTAACAATGGTGCTAATAATGATGTTAATGTTATCAGAGATTAAGGGAGTAGGATGTAATTTTAGTTGTAATCTTTCAGTCAACCCCAGTGGGATCCTTACAAACAGGTCATGAGATTGTGGTATCACCCAACAGAGATCGCCATCCAACTGCCAATAAGGTAAATAAAGCATTAATTTTGTTTGAGGCAGTAAAGTGATTAACTTTTATATTTGTTGGTAACTTCAGTTTAGTTGGATTTATTGTATTTTACATCCCTTCCAAGTAGCAGAAGCATGGTAAAAAAAATGCTGCATGCTGTTACTATTGTCTGGAGTTAGTTGTTCACCTATTTCAACTGTGCCAGCAACAAAATGTTCTTTTCACATAACCATGTAAATTCAGTGTGATTTTGTCACCAGGAAATTTTGCAAAGGTACGTAGTATTACAGAATTAGATTTGATGAATTTGAAGACTTCTGTACACATTTTTTATTTCCAGGATGGTATATAACTTTATTACTTTGAATGTAAGGCATATTGTTGTATCCTTTTAAATTTCAGAACTCTCCTTTAAATCAAAAGGTATATAAGTGATACTGGAAGTTGTTACTGTATGTACTTCAAAAAAAGAATTCAGTTCTGAATTGCATCTATACCAGTAACTGCATTCCTTGACATGCCTTAAGAGCATTACTCTGTGTGCTATAGCAGAGTTATGTCACATAAATTTTTGCTAGTATAAAAGTGCTCATTGGAAATTTTTATAATGTCTACATATACATATATGTTTTTGTAATTAACAGAATAAATTTCTTGGTCGTGTTATATGATCTCCTCAAGTTAATAATTATTCTTCCATGAAGGACATGTTTTTTGAACAAATCCCCCTTAATACTCATTTTTGCGTGTCTTTAATGTATCAGACATACACAGTTTTATTCATGAGACACGTGGTTTGAAAATTCACATTATTTGTTTGGGACCTGCACTTTGATATGAGTGAATTCACTCTCGCTTTTCTTTGTGCCAAAGTGAAGTATTCTTATGTTTTTATATTTTGTAATACACGTAAAGGATTTTTTGCTTAATTCATAAAACTAGTTTTCATGTGTACATTCCAGATTGCTCTCCAGTGCTTTCTCATCATAGACTGTCATTTGTACATAATGAATCAAGTTGTCCATACTTATGAATGGAAACTTAAAACTTTCTTGCTTTTAAATTTTAGTATCTTCCCTTACGCATGTCCAACCCAAATTTCTTTTTATAACAGATTATTTAATAGTTTCATTAACTGACATGAGGACAAACATTTATAATGAGGTAATTACTCTGTTTTCTTATAGTCCCTTGTAATTCTCTAGGTTAGGTCATAGAAGTGAAGTTCTTGACAGGTTGCAGTCATATTATTTCTTGCCACATGTTCAAGGAGTTATTGCTTATTTTAATCTCATTACTTTGTGAATGAAAGGACGAAACCTATAGAATTTGGCCGTCGTGCTGGTGCAGTTAGGCATGAAACAGTTTTGGCCCAGTTGCCAGACATTAACCCAGTAATTAAGTGATTTTTTTTTCTTTATTTTGCTTTATTTTCAGTTCTCTATCATAAGTTAGTTCTTTAGTGAAGTCATTTTGGTGCTGTTTTGTCTAATACACTGTCATTGTTTTACTGCTACAATGGTCAAAGGATGAGATAGAGTTTGAGGAGGATGACATTGTATTGATCTTGGAGGTCAGATACTCATAGTGTCTTTTAACAAAGCCCCGTAGAAAAGTGGAATGACCACAATGTTACTGCATTTGTGTAGTGTAGCACCTGACACAGTTAAAGGCATAAAATATTTTGAAGTGTTAATAAAAGCATTGAAGTACTTGTTTTATCTGCTTGAAGAAATAAATTCTTTTTCTGTGTTGGTGAGACTAACCATGTCAACAAATTAAATATTTGCATATGCTATTATTGTACCTTATTTGGAAACATGTTGATAAAAGTGACTAGTAATTATGTAGGAATATGACTTTTATCAATTTATGTAACATTGTATCTGTTGTTCTCTGTGTATAAACTCTGCACATAGTTTAAATTGTTGAGTGTCATTATTGGTTCTAAGGTAATAAATCAAACATTGATCAGATATTTTGCATATGTCAGATACTAGAGAAAAGTAGTAGTACAGTGGGATAGTAACTAGAAATTTTGCATTTGTTAGTATGCCCTAGAATAGAGTGTGCTGTAAGTTGGCTACACCTATACCGTACTGTTTTTGGACCAAGAAAAGGGGTATACTTATTTGAGGATGGAGAAAAATGAAGAAAGTTGTCACAAGATTATGACATACTTTGGTGGAAACATCGGTGTTTTTGTTGATGATGCGTACTGGGATAGAAAAATCTCTTCCTTCACATGTGATTCAGTGAACAAGTATTAGTCTTTCACTGAACGCAATGCGTGTCTTGGTGTTTCCATCTTTCCATGTACTTTATTCTGGTTCTGTTGTATTGCATTGAAACATTCATGTGCTTCTGATGACTCATGTCTGGTTCTGACTGAATCTCATATGCAGTAGTTAACTTCAAATTGCTTGAACTTGCAAGGCTAGTTTAATAACTTTTGTAGTGAACGTCATAGTTGCTGTGTTAAATCTGTGCTGTGGTTCTGTTTGTTACAGTTAGTGAAGCATTTTATTTTCTGTTATATATGTTATTGAGTTAAGATAGGGCTCTGAGGTTATTAGTTTGAAATCTGAAGATGATAGTTGCATGATATTATCCCATACTAATAAAATTGTCATTTTCCTGTTATGTGCATCACTTACATGAAGTAGATTTGCTTACATTTAGTTATGTTACTCATAATTGATAATCTGTGGGTTGAGTAAATACTACATTTGCCTTGTTAGTTTTATAAACTACATTTATATGATTCAAACTGGTTACATTGGACATATGGTAGATATAAATAAACTATTATTTCATGCATGTATCTTGTCCCATTGTGGTGGAAATATCAGCAGATGTTGATGCTGTTAGGCAGAAATTGGCCAAATTTGTTTTCCCTTTTTTGGGTACCAGATTATTTGACTTTTTGTCCACCATTTAATTTTCCTGTACCCAACACTTGACAGGTTTGTTCAAATGCTCTTTGTATGTTACATTTTAAAGCACAGTGTTGACTGTATGTACAGTCTAGTTTAAAATTCATAACTCTGTATATTGCCTACAAAGAATATTTATGGATTTCATTTGATTCTTAGACTAAGCAATGATTATGTCCCTAAACAGCATAACCAGTTGGTCTTTGTAATGAACACATGTTGTTTTCTTTGAGGTAGGAACTTAATTTTTAAATATTATTTGGATGAGGATGGTGTTTATGGTTAAAAACACTGCAGTGTATAGTTTGCTACATTTTCCTGTGTTTAGCTTAGAATAGGGCCGTTCTCCCATTTCCTTTACCATTGAGAACTTATTCTCTGAAAGTAATAAGCAGTATCTCTCACAAATTTGCAGGTTTTGCACTTAGACGTATCAACACTTCCACATGGGTAAATACAGAGGTCAGTGATGTTTCAAGAAGTGCTCAAGTAGCTAGCTAAGCTGGAACAGTGGTAGACAAAAGTGCTCGCAAGGCAAGCAGTGATCCAAATGGAATTAAACTGTTTGCAATAGAAATTTTACATTATCACAGACGATGCTAACAGATGGAGGTCTCTATAATAAATATCAGAATGGGAAGGGTTAAGAGTAAAGTAGAAGGTATATGTTTTTTAAGTCCTCGATATAAACAATAAGTTTATATATGCAGATACAATTTGTACTACCTAATCTGTTGTTGTTGTTTTAAGTAGGTATGTGTTTAAGTGCAGCAGAATTTAGTGTGTGACTAACCTGATCAAAGTAAAGTGGTAGAAATTCTTAACAAATTATGACAGCATTAAAAATAAGTGTTGGCTTCTTCTCCATGTGCAAGTGGGTGTGTTTTGTGTTGTGATGTGTTTGGCTTGTACTGTGCATGCAGGGAGCTGGCAAAGGACTTCCTGCGTGGCCAGACATCCCAAAACAACAGGGGAACCAGTTAGGCAACCTTACACCTGCTGACCGACATGGATCAGTTCAGGTTAGTGAGACATGAACCCCACTTACCAGTCAGTGTCTGTTAAGAAAATAATAGGCCTTCTGTAACTAAACATGCCTGAAAACATATAACTGATTTTTGATTCTGATGATGGTATAATACAATCCAGATTGTTGGGTTTTTGGACCTTGTCCGTCATCTGATGTTATAAAATGCACTAGATTTCGGGGACTGGATCTGCCCTCATCTTCAAGTGTAGATTCAGTGATTGAGATTAGCTCATTCTGACTGACCCCCACAGAGTAGGAGCCTCCTTCACTACACCTAAAGATAAGAATAGATCCAGTCCTTGAAACATTATGTATTTTATGACATCAGATGATGGACAAGGTCCAACAATCCAGATAACTGATTTTGATGAACTTAACTCTTATATTCATGAGTTTGCTAAACATATCCAGGAAATGCTTACATTTAAAGGAGAATTACAGTAATGTCCTTTTTTTATCTTGTTAGATTAAAATTTGTAGATGCCTCTATCACTATTTCCTTTCATCTTTGCTTTAGAATATGCTATCAGGGAGGTCCAACATAACACAGGGATTGAAATTGAATAGGATACATCAGATTTTGGTCTATGATGATGATAATTTATTGTGAGAAATCGTAAATATCATAAAGAGAAACAGGCTGACAAACAAAAAAACTAAGTATATGTTCATGTCTTGTCACCAGACTGTAGGTCAAAATTATTATGTAAGGTGTTGATGAATCCTTTGACATTGTGGAAAAGTTCAAGTATTTGGAAACAACAAAAACAACAAAATTACATTCACCGGATTAAATTTGGGGAATGCTATTACCAGAATATTTTCTCTTCCTATCTCCTATCAAAAAACATACAAATATACTGTTTTACCTGTTGTTTTGTATGGGCATAGAATAGGATACAGACAGGAAGCTGTAAAAGATAACATAATGATGAACTCCATAATTTATACTCTTTACAAATAATATTAGAATGATCAAATTAAGGAGAATATGGGTGGGACTTACAATGTGCATGAGGAGATGAGAAGTACATAACAAAATTTTCATTGGAAAGCCTGAAGGGAAGAGACCGTTTAGAAGACTTTGGCATGGATGGGAGGGTAATATTAAAATGCATCAAGAGTGGGGGTGGATAGGGACTGTTGGCAAACTCTTTTGAACATGGTAGTGAACCTTTGGTTTCAATAAAAGGCAGGGAATTTCTTGACTAGCTGAGTATATAAGATTTGGGGTTTTCACAGCAGTGAGTATGAAGATTTCTGTCTTCTGGGTTGTTGCGCTGTGTAGTCTGGTTGATGTTAACCAACGTTTCAGAGGTCATACTGCTTCCGTCATCGCCCTGATGACGGAGGCAGTATGACCTCCGAAACATTGGCAAACATCGACCAGACTACACAGCGCAACAACCCAGAAGACAGAAATGTTCTAGCTGAGTGTACTATGAATTAAGGAGTTTGGTTATAATTAAACTTTTAATGTCTTTATTGACTAACAGTTCTAATAAATGTAAACAGTCTGAAGGTATGCTTCAAACTGTCAAAATAGTTATTTTGTTTAATTAAATATCTTTAAAATTAATGGTTCCTGTGTTCTAACATCATAAATACCAAGCTTTTTCATATGGAAGATTTTTCCTCCAATACAGCTATGAACATACAAGGAAAATAAAACAGAGTTGGGCAGACAGCCTAGGCATTATGCATTAACGTCATGCACTTTGTGAAAAACTTATGGTCTGAGGCCCACAAGAATGTATTTATTCTACATATTTTAAACAAGAATTATGTTTGTATTCCTTCATGGCATTGTGCTTAATCATAGGATCAGCTTCTTAGTCCATTGTATCTTCTTGCACAGTCTGTAATGCGAATTGGTTTGGGGAATAACAGGAATAAATCGGACTATAAAAGAGACTAACTTTGTCAAATTACTAGTGATTGTATCTTTTACATTTGAAATCTGTTCTGTCTGCAAGCATTCTTTAAGTATAACTGCAATAAGGTCTTACGCAGAAGATTTTGCTATTTGCTGGCAATAATTGCAGGTACTTCTAAAGAACATGGTGCATGGAGCAGTTTTGTTTCTTTACTTCTCCTTCCAAACAGCACAAACTAAATAAATCTTGAATTAATCATAGAATTTTGTGTGGTGTTATGTGTGTATTAAATCTGGCTTTTATAGATAAATAGTAGCATTGATGATACCTATATGTAAACTTGGACTAGGAGTAATCACTGTAGTTAGATTTAACCTGTAACTCCACTACTAGTTCATGATCCATTGTGCTATCAAAAGGGTTGAATATTTTTATGCATAATGGACTCTTTATGTATCATTCTGTGAAGTGATTTATTTTCATACCATTCTGTTAATTGGATTTAGTGATTTAGTTCCAAATATTCTTTTCCTGGCACAGTATATTTTGTAGCATGGTCAGGAATGGGCCATCACAAGTAGAACACTTTAATGTATATTGTCAGCATGTGTATAGCAATCATCCAATCCCTTGCTGATATATACATAACATGTCTATAAATGTTTGTTTAATGTTAATATTAACAAGATTTCTGTCTTCTGGGTTGTTGCACTGTGTAGTCTGGTCGATGTTAACCAACGTTTCAGAGGTCATACTGCCTCCGTCATTGCCCTGATGACGGAGGCAGTATGACCTC